ACTAGGAGTAGTTGTTTCCATTGTTAGAAGGAAAAAAAAAATTCAAGTGATTGCTCCAGCGCCGCACGCGTGCACACAGTTGAGCATTGCTAACTTGACAATGCAGCCTGTTCATGATCATAATAAAATAGTCAGTCAAACATATGGAGAAAAAAAATAAATAAAATAACACACTGCTCAGTTTAAATATGAAGTAAAATCTGTGCACACATTTTGTATTACGTGGACATTGGAATGCGAGTGAAGTACAAAACCAGGTTTACATACAGGTGCATCTCAATAAATTAGAATGTCGTTCCACGACATTCTAATTTATTGAGATACACCTGTAAATAATATTTTGGCATTCAAATACATCGCGAATACGGAAACATTTGGATTTGGTTTCAGTTTCGTTTTAGCCTAAATTAATTCGTTTTGGCTTGTCCTATATAGCTATAGCTGCTTACATTTTTAATTCTTGTTCTTTTCTGAATACTGTTACATTTAAAAGATTTGCTGTGGAGGGGAACTAAAATAGTCTAGCCTATATGTTTATAATGTTTGTAAACATTTCGCGTCGGCATTAGGCCGATTTCTGAATTAAATAATAAAATGCGACTTAGGTAGGCTACGCACATGTTTTTTCTCTCAATTTTTATTTTATAGGTCTACGCGTAGCGTATTTTAACCATGCAGTAAACGTTTTAAAATATTTTGTTTAATAACTGGGGAAAAAAAGACTTTAAACCATTTAACTGATTGTATTAATCGGTCAAAATTCTTACTGTCGGTTAAAGGCTAACCGGTTAAAATGAGCATTCATATGCTGAATATTTTCAATGAAATAACTTAATCCAGTTCACAAAACTATTTGTTCATGAATTGGAAAGATCTGATTCTCACTGACTCAACCGCTATGCTGGCATGCACCAAAATTGGTAATAATTGTTAGTTTGTAATAGTACTTTTTAGTAATTGTTAATAACTGTTCATAACTGGATTAAACGATTACATTTAGGGCTCAAACAGACTGAAAAGCCTTCTTGTAAACACATCAATCGATCCGAATGAGCAAAATCTAGATGAAATTTCGATTTTATTAAACATTGAAACAAATATTAAACAGAACTGCAATCTGAAATCAGACTGAATTCATTCAGATTGAGGACAATGTGTATGTAAACATATCTAATGATCTGGTTGCAATGGTTAACAGCTCACCTGAGTGAAATATTACCAGTCAATAATGACTTACATTCCAGAAGACTTGGGACAAAGTCATATGCATTACACTTATGGCGTTTTATTAATTTTTTTGCCAGTTTGGAGCTTTACAGCCAGGCCTCATTCAATTTCATTATATCAGTTAAAAAAAAAAGAAAAAGAAAAAGAAAAAAAACAAATTCACGTTTGAAATGGCAGGATGAGTAAATGACGACAATTTTTTATTTTTGGGAGAACATCCATTAATAATCTGAGTGGGCAAAGAACAAGGAAGATAAAACAGGACAAAACTAGACAAATGTGCAAAACCTCAGCCAGCTCAGTCCCTCTCCATCACAGCTATGAGCAAATCCTTTCAACATTCACCAGCACGTCACAGACGATGACATACATAATGCAAATGCACACTATTTTTATTCTGATACATTCTGTATATCAGAAGTGAGTGAGTGCATGCTGACAGAGAGAAACCACTGTCACCGTCAGCTATTAACAGACCATCCCAAACTCCCTTTCAAAGATGTCATCACAAAGCTTATATAATCAACCAACATCACTGACCTGGTCTAATAATTTGACTCTTTTGTACCGCAGATATTCTGTCAATCCCATAATCATGTTCCACCTGCAATAATCCACATTCTACAGGAGTACCACCATTATTTGATTACATAATGTGGAAGAAATGTTACATCACTGCAGATGGTAAATAATTACAAAGTAGAGCTCACATATTCTGGTGCAATTCGATGCAAACATTTCATTCCTAACTAACATTTAACATTGCATTCCTTACCATAGTTCCAGTTCCAGCCAGTCACTACAGTTATTGCTGTGGCTGTAAAAATATAATAAATTAATAGTGAAACACAAATCTAAAGGGAAAGACGGATGGGGCCCTAAATGAACAAATAAAATAAAATCTCAAAACAAGTAGTAGTAGTAATAATAATAATATTGCTTAACTGTTCTCATTATATTCTCATTTTCATATATATTGTCATATATACACACTGAACAAAATTATAAAACGCAACACTTTTGTTTTTGCCCTATATATATATACACACACACACTTTTTTTTTTAGGCTGCACAATTAATCAAATTTCTAATCGCAATTACGGATGCCACAATTACGTAATCGTTCAAAGCGGCAATTCATCGTTCAAAGTCCACTTATGTTATTCTGTTATGTTATTATCTTAAGCGTTTTTCAATTGTTTTAGTATAACATTATAATACCATTCATATTTTTACTTTTATAATTTAAAGAAACCAATTCGATGTATATTTGACATTTTAGGCTTAAAGCCCTGTTCACACCAAGCACGATAACTATAAAGATAACGATAAAAGATATAGTTCTAAAAATCGTTCTCGCTGTAACGAGCTCAAGAATTTAAAGCGGCAGACACATGTGCGCTTAGAATAAACAGACGATATCGTTCGCTGTGTGAATGCTAATATCGTTATTGTGGATGCTAATATCGTTATCTTTATAGTTATCGTTCTTGGTGTGAACAGGGCTTAATACTATAGAAAAGCACTAACGGTTTTTCAGTTAGTGTTTTCAGCTTGTTTATTTTCATATAAAAATACGGCACGCAGTTGCATTAAACAATGGTATAAACATCATTCAATGTAAATTGTGATAATAGTAATTAATAATCGCAATTACAATTTCAAGGGAATAATAGACAATGATTTTTGTCATAATCGTGCAGCCCTAATAAAAAAATATTTTTTTTTTTTTTTTTTGTTTGTTTTGTTTTTTTATTATTGTTGTATTAAGGTATTGTCAAAAACGATCAAAAATATATATATATATAAAAAAAAGGTTTATGAATAGCATTTTTTGGATACATAAACTAAACTAAAATAAAATAAAATAAAAATAAAGTAACATTAGTCATTTTCCAGTCATTCTTCGCCAGCATAAGAATTCATACCAGGTGACATCATGATAAATGACATCACCTTATCACAGGACATGATCCAAATGTTTGTAGGCTACACAGAAAAAAAATAATTAGGAAAGCAAGAAACAGAAAAGGATAAAGGGAAACAATAATCCATAAATCAAACCACAAAAGACACCTCGAGAGCGTGACGCTACTGTTTGAGGCATGAGATCTGCATCGTTGCTTGAGAGAGCTCTCTGTTCAGACACCCAATTAGCCAATCAGCAGCCACAGCTCCGCAGGCCTGTAGATTCTAATTGGCAGCTTCCTTCCCCCTTTGCTTAACACGTTTTGTTTTTGTGCAGTCAGAGGAAGGAAAGCCTCATCTGCCTCAACACACGAGTGTGAAACTTGCCGGCCCTTGCACAACAATGCAGCTGCTTATCTGCATATGACAGGGCCAATTTAAATAAAGAGTACATATGTAAAACAGGAGGAGGAGTGGGCACTTTGTTAAAGCTATCCTAATTAGAGCAGAGAGCTGTCGGCCAATCAAAGGCCTGCTTATGTTGTGGAGCACCACAGAAATGCTAAAAAAAAAAAAAAAAAAAAAGTAAAAACGGGAA